TTAGTTTATTTCATTTTAGTTTATTTTGTTTATTCACTCCCTTTTCTCTTCTGATTTAATATATTTTACAAACAAAAGTTTTACTTCTTTACTTCGCTTTATTTTAGTGTCTCTTATTTTGTTTTATTTATTTGATTCTTTTTGGTTTAAACTTATTTATTTATTTTAATTTTTTTATTTGTTTTTTAATTTTTTTTCTTTGTTATCTTACTTTATTTCTTTTATATTATTTTATTTCTATTTATTGTATTGTTTATTGTATATTTTATTTATTCATTGTTTTCATTGAAACTAATTTTATTATTTTTTTTTATTGAAATTAATTCTGTTTGAATACATATATTTTTTAATTCATTTTTCCCCTCATTTCTTTTAACGTATTTCAACATAGTTCTGTAGCAACTGCTTTGGCACTAGAGCTCCGATGTTATGCTATTAACCAGCTTTGCTTTGTTATTCTTCCCTCTTTTGTATATGCCAATTTCGTCTTTTTATCGCACCATCTATCTATTGTACCTTAACGTGGCACAAAGTTCAAAAATTAGTATTTTGTCTAATTTTCAAACTCTAACCTCAATACTGTTTATAATCATCTCGTGCACTCTCTTCATATGTATGTACTGGAAGCGAACTCTCAAGTTGTCAACAAAAAAAAAGTCATGACTCACTTAAAGATTTGCTCAACTCATTGATCGAAAACCAAAGAGCGTAAATTCTCCGTCTGAGTTGAAAACCGAGTACGAATAATTAGCTAAAAAGCAACTCACGTGTACGAGTATATCTCCCTTAATTGACATGTTGATGACAAATGCTTTTATTTACAAATCGGTTGGAACTATTGTGAGCATACACTCGCACATGTATACGTGTGTGTGTCTAATATAAACAAACACCCTGCAGGGAGAAGGTAGACTGAATGCAAAAATTCTCGTGGTATTTTAGTATTTTGAAGATGAAATTATACCAGTTGTTTGTTTGTATAGCAGTTAACGGGAGTAGTAATAATCTCTACCGCCGTTTGGTGCTGTTATATCGGCACGCCATGTTTGAGTTCCATTCTTTGCTCTGCTCTGTCGGAGTGCGCAAAAATACCTTCATCGCTAAACCGTGTTAAAACCGTGTTAAAAATATCAATCGAAAAAATAATAACCAGTTGGATTCTAGTTAACAACTAGTATTTTTCCCTACAGGGTAAATACATAAGTAAATATTAACAATTTTATTTATAAAAAACTGGTTTAACTGGTCATTTTTATTGTAAAATTTTCGCATAAAAAGCTTTTGCTGCTTTTGTATTTTCTAGTTATTTAAATTAGTTTTATTTTAATCACTGTTTGTGTCACTCACCAATATGGTACTCGTATGTGTATGCGTTTTATTAAAGTTTTTTATGCATACATACACATTTGAATTAATTACTTTTAACCAATTTTAGTATGAAAAAAGAAGAGAATTGTAAAAGTGATGAATGTTTTTGGAACTCGCTAACTTTATCAGTGAAAGACACTTCATTGGAGTAATACAATTTATTATCAACTTATTTTTGCGTTTTACACAATCGGCAAATTGAACCCTCACGTTAAGTAAATAGAAATATGTACGTGTATGTAGGGGAGGTACAAGTGCATGAATACGAACATACAAAGTTTGCATTGAGATTTGCGTATTGTGCACAAAACAGCTAATCAAATTATTCTTAGGAATCTCTATTTTTGTTTATTTATCACATTTTCCTAGCAAAAATCTTTTCATATTTGCACATCTTTACACGAGGCGCGGCTGATAAGCTCGCGGCCCTTAAGTACTTAACGAAATACGCGCTTGAATCAACAAATAAGCGTTATACTGGCCGTTCATTGTAGTTCCCTTTAGCAATCAACTATAGATATTCCATCACTATGCCATAAAATGGTAGCCATAATCTTCGACGCCGCCTTTTCCACTTTGAATTGTTTCGGTGGTCGTTTCCTTCTTTGATCCACTGCATCGATTCCTGCTTGGACTCTGGATCATACTGACGACTCCTAGTTTATTCAACTGTTACAATGCGGTCGCAAATTTCATCCAAATCTGCTTGGCACCACTTCGAAAAATATTTACAACTCTTTAATCATCACTGCTTCTCGAGCGGCGTAAGCATTCGCGGTACCCAACGTGACTAATATTTTTCATATTAAAATGTTCGTGCCAAATCTCCCCAGCTCGTTTTTTGCTAATCTGTACTCCTTCTGCTATAGTATAGAGTCCTGCTATTAATATTATCAGTAAAGAGATGAGGTTCGAAAATAATCAAGACGCAAAACCGCAAATTGCAGGAGGAGCTCAGCTGAAAAATCACTTCAGCGGTTACAAAGTGCCAATTATATATATATATAAAGAGATGATGTGTCATCACTACCTGAGTTCGCGAAAAAGTCAGCCGTCCCTTGTATCTACCTTGGCGGCCTAAAGTCTACACACGACCTCTTTTTTTTTGGAATCTAGCTTGCCCTAAAGCTTTTACAGAAGAAATAATAAAAGATGACAAAAACCATTTCTTATTTATAAATCAAAGAGAGCTCTGACGAAAGTGGATACGTAGAGCACGCTCAAATCACGCTTTGGTAATAGCTGCAGAAGGTATTTTAGGCCACACAAGAGTTGGATACCTTGGGCTTAGAGTCAATGATTTTTCCACCACTTCAAGCTTTATATTCGCACCTTGCCTCTGGAGGGTTAGAGTCACTCCCTCTATGGTGTCCCCATTTCTCAGCTTGACTCCGCTACATCAGCTAGCACCATCAAACGATGGCATGGCTTTTGCCAGCTGTTCCCGCATGCGTCTTATCACGAGGCTTAGTAGCGCTTTTTCTATTGATTTCCACATCTCGGAGGTTATCTATCAGTGTCTGTATTGCCTGGATATTGTTTAGCCTCGTTTCTGACGCCATATTCGCTGTTCCTGAAGAGAAAGTCCTCCCGTCATCATGCTTAGTGCTTATTTCCGGCTAATCGCTGTTCAACAGGTTTCTCTGCCACGTGCCTCGGATATCTCTCTCACTGCTATTAGATTATGTTCGGTTGATTGCGCTGTAATGCTCTTCCACACAAAACGCTCTTTCTCTCGGAGCGTTGGATCGGTAACAGCTCCCATTCTCTATACAATACTCAATGCCAGCCTATATTGTGATAAAGCTTTCCTGATTCCTTTTTTCTCCCTCTTTTGCCGACTACGCACTCGGTCACCTTGGCGGTGCTGGCTAAAAACAAACCTGCCCTTATGGAGCTTGCCGACATCATAGTTCCTACGTCGAACTCTCGTCACTATCATCCGTTTTTTTTTTTGTTTAGTTTAGGCTAAGCAGACGCCGTGGTCAATGTTGTATATGTCTCTTCGAATGAAAAAAGAGAATTGTTATTTGAGGGCATGTATCTTGAGTGTGTGGTCCCTTAATTGGGAAGGTTCCGCTATCCAGTTAGACGACGAATTGGTTAAATTAAAGGCTGACATCACCGCTCTCCAAGAAGTACATTTGGCGGGAAAAAGACGGAAGAAGGTGGCTCTATTTGAAACACATACATATATCACAGCCCCTGCCATCTCAAAATTGTACCAGAGCGGACAAAGAAGGTATTTTCGGCATAACTCTCGGAAAATCTAGCCTCCACGATGAAGCATCACCGAATGGGTTGAGGGTTGACTTGGACGGGGCCCGAAATCTGGTTGTCTGTAGCACTAGATTTCATTACAAGAAAATTCACCAAAGTGCAAATTAATTCGGTTCGTTATTAAAAGATGGCTTCACTTACAAGTCGTGGCCGATGTAGACATTTGCCGGAAGATAAGTTGAATTGAAGCCCATCGAATGCTTCTCGAAATGTATAATGAATCTACGCCGACCGAGTGGTATCCCAATGGTCCTCATAAGACATACATACACATATAGACAAGCGTCTCTGAAATCTTTAAAATAATTCAGGATCACATCAAATAAAGTGAGAGTGTATTGATATGGTGGCACACTATAAATCTGCAATGGGTCCCAGGAAACAGAGATATCCAGGGTAACTATGAGGTAGCTAAACTAGCTGGATCAGGCACCAAATTAGAATTAGATCTTATTAAAGTGACAATATATAAAATATATCTCTGGCTACTTGTGATTGATAAACATATTAAGTGAATATCTGAATACTGCTGGAAGCAAACCTTGACTATCATATTGGCAGACACGCCGGTACACTAGGAGTACTAAATAAATAACGACTACTGCAGAAATTATCAGGAGGTCAAAGAAGAAGAGAAGAGCATCTTTTATGCAGATGTAAAAGATTGTACTGAAAAAGGTATGCACTTGGTTTCCTGTTCCGTATCGTTTTCCTTGACTATATCTTAGAACCTCCTTTATTATGACCGCCGGGTGGCAAACGACTCTCGTCCCAGTGGTTTCACAATTTACTGGAATAGCTGTGTCCCCTCTAGTCCTCCTGTCATCCCCAGTACCAATGTTTCTCATAGTTTTTGCAGGACGAGGTCGGTGTGTGTGGGGGGGAGGGGGTATAATATGAAAGGAAGACCATTTGTCCAATTTCTGGCTATCCGTCTTCCAGCAGCACATGCAGTTGACTCAGGAAAAATTTTATTCACTTCTATTATACGTCCATTCGTCCATTCGGGACTTCAAATCAGAGTCTGGAGATTATATAATATTATTTTATAGATTTGAACTGATAACGGTTCCAGCATAAGCTTTTGACGTGCTGTTTGTCAAATGTTGGACGGTCGCTCTTACAAGTGCTCACTTCCTGCATCTCTACTCATGTTTAATGCACTGAAGTGCCTGTCATTGATTGTTGTGATCTCCAAAATCTCTGCTACTGCCGTTGCCGAAGCTTCGCGACATTCGTAAACTTTTTCAATCGATTTATATACTTTTTTAAAAGCGCTTAAAATTTTTTTAAATAATTAATTTTATTAAAAAAAAATTTAATTACTTATTTTTCTTTATATATTTCCTTAGGCAAAACGATTGAAGCAAAGACTTTGAAATTTGACAACCCACCAAGGATAACTGCGCTACATACAGCTGGAAGATTAGTGGAACTTGCACCATTTGCTACATTCACGTTGTTATTTTAATAAAGCTACTAAAAAATTATATATTATTTAAACATTTAATTTGTTTGCTTTCTTTGCAGCAAACATAAAGTGTATGATTCAGGAAAATGATTGACTTAGAGTACTTACCGCGCCTGGAGTCTTTATCGCCCGTTAAAGACTTGGAAGCTTATCATATGACAATATTGGAGCCCGATAAGAACCAAATGGAACTACAAACACCTACAAACTCGATTCATGAAAAGGAATGGCAAGAGAGAGGTAATGGTAAGGATGGTGATTATAGCAGGCAACAACGTGGCTTTCGCTACATTTGTCAGGTAAGTACATTTTGGGCCACAAATGGACTGTTACAATTAACACTGTTTGAAAATTTGAATTTCTTATTTAATTATAAGTGTTTATGATACGCGGCAGTCACGAAGAGTCGAGTTGTTTACAAAACATGGATGTAATGTTAAGCTCTTTGTTAAGAAATAATTATTGTTGTATTATTATTATTATTATTATTATTATTTTTATACGAGAAGAATTTGCTGTCTTAAGAGAAACTATAAAGTAATGTGTATTCAATAAATTGTCATAAAACACTTTATATATTTATTTATATTAATTTATATTTAGTTATGTTAAAAACATATTTTCCTAAAAAAAATTAACGTTAAAATTGTCTAAAAACGCTAACTAGTAAATAAGATCTATTATTACTAGCATACATTTTCAGCTCCTTCTTATCTTATGTTGATAAAAAGCTCAAAAAATACGCACATGTGCTGAGCTCGCGATAGCAGTTACTGATATTTTGGCTGTTTCCGAGACTACGATCTACAATAACATACCAAGACCAAAGCAGGAATTTATTACCCCAATTCTTTAACGATTTTTTTTTTTTCATTTTAGAATGAAAATTTAAAACTAGACAAAAATTCGTGGAGCTTTAATGCAATCCGTTTGAAAAAGTTTTGTATTCAGTGCCTACATGGACTATAATTGAAAATGTTAAAGAATTTGATTTCAACCAATTGTAGTGAATACTACAAAAATAGTATGTAGAGAATGAAAGTAATTGAGATTTTTTGAATATTATTTAAAAATATCCATGTTTCGCTGTACACACCTACAAATTAACGTTGTTTTATTTTATGAATAAGCCGATTTTATGAATAATACCGTTACTTAGGAATATAAATAATTCCGTTTATCGCAAAATTTTTATATGCGCCAATATTAATTTCAATCTAATAATACCACAGTCTGAACTTGGCAAACAGGTTCTTATCAGTGGGCTATCGATTAGGATATTTTATACAAAAACATGTGAAATAAAAAAAAGAAGAAAAAATAAAATAAAATAAATAGCATAAAATAAACTAAAGGAAAATTAAACAAAGTGGTATAAAATTTAAATAAATTAAATTAAACAAAGTTAACATAAATTAAATTGAATTAATTCAAATAAAATTATATAAAAATTAACAAAATTAAAAAAATAAAAAAAATAAAAAATAAAGTAAAAAAATATAAATTAAATTAAAAAATTTAATAAATTAAATAAAAAGGAGTAAAATAAAAAAAAAATTATATCAAAATAAATAAAATAGAACAAACTAAAATAAAATAATAATGAATTAAATGATTAATATAAAAAATTAAAAACAAAACAAAATAAAATAAAAAAGTCTAACAAAATGTAATAAAATAAAATAAAATAAAATCAAATAAAATAAAATGAAATAAAAAAAAATAAAATAAAATAAAATAAAATAAAATAAAATAAAATAAAATAAGTTAAAATAAAATAAGTTAAAATAAAATAAAATAAAATAAAATAAAATAAAATAAAATAAAATAAAATAAAATAAAATAAAATAAATTAAAGTACATAAGATAAAAAATAAAAATTAAACAAAAAAATTACGTTAAATAAAATTGTATAAATCATAAAAAATATTTTACATAAAATAAAATAAATTAAGATAAAATGAAATAAAACAAAATAAAAATGAATACATTAATTTAAATTAATTAATAAATTAATATTATCATTAAATTACTTTAAATAATTTAACAATATGAAATAAAAAATTAATATAAAAGAATATATATCTAGGAAATAAAATAGTAACATACAACGGTAGCAAATTGAAAAACGTACAACTCCCCTCGCTAGACGTTAGTGCGCAATAAAGAAATTTATTGAATTATTGCTTTTTTCTTCTAATATTATAGTTTAATCTGCTCTTCATATCTTATCTAAATTGGCCTTCGCACAGCCGGTAATGACATACAGTAGGTGCTAGTGAACTCGTAGCTTTATACACATATACATATATTTATTAGTATATGTATACTATATATAGCAACTCTAATAGGTGTTATATAGTCGAAATTAAAAATGGTTACCAGACACATAACTAAATAAAACATATAATCCCTTTGGGATTAATTTGATTTTATTTGAATATACATACATATTTATACACTATTGAATTTTTTCTTTTAGTTATTAAGTAGTATATACGTAAATTAAATTGCTAACCATAGTATGTACAATATATCAAACGGCACCGTACATATTATTTTGCCAACAACTGTATTTTCGCTGTTATCGACTTGAATTGTTATTAAGAGAAACTATCTCCATGCTTTATTATGCTTTCCAACTTAGCTGAGCTTTTATCTGTCCTCAATTCCAACACACCTCCTGTGGTGAATATATTCCACGAAAGAGGGCAAAAAGCAAACACAACAAATTCGTATGACAGCGACTTGTAGTTGTTGTGTGTGTTTAGTTCACTTAAGAATTTTATAAAATTAACACAAAGTATTGCAGATACGCGGTATTCGAGTGTGAAATAAAGTGAAAACATTTGTTAAATGCAGTTTTATTCATAATAATATGAATAACTTTTTCAAATAAAGTGTATAAAATACAGAATTATTTATAAAAGAGTCTTTCCAAACAGGAATTGCAACTTATTGCGGTGTTTTTTTTTTTTGCTTTTATTTAGTAAGTGTTGGGTGTGTATGTGTGAAGTTGAATTTTTTGTGTCTGATTGCGACGACGTTATATGCGAACGAAGATACGACGAGGCAGTGAACGACAAGAAAACGTGCAAAGTGCACATAAATCGAGTTTTGCGGTTTACTTTGTACCCTTTTGGTAAAATAAATAAATCACAATGGCGTTTTGTGATATCAAGTTGTTTAGTGTGAAAATGTTTTTATACGCGAATGCTTTGGCGTAAATAAAATGAAAGTCTGTATCTGCTGGCGTTGACGCCGCGACGCTGCTACTGCTGGTACTGCTGTTTACCTTTGCTACTTATGACAATCCAATTGGAGCGGGAAGAGTTCATTGCTTATTGGAAACAAAGCCTTGGTTTTGCATTAAAGTCAATCTATGCTTTTTTTTAATGTGTGAAGGGCTAAAAAGTACGAAATTAAAATTATATTAAATAAAAATCACTGCAACGAAAATCGAATTTTACAATGAAATGTAGCAGCTGCTGATGGTGCAATGTGTGCAGTGCTGTTGTTGTTGTTGTTTCTTGTTATTGGTGTTTTCTTGCGTGCCTACAATACAAATGCTGGCGTATGTTTTGTTGCTGCGTCATGCAGCTGGTGCCTGTAATTACCGACCGGCCCTAACATAACTCCAATACGGATAATTGTTGAAAAGGAAACGTCAATGTAGTATTTCACAACATAGAAGATTCTCGTATCTAATCAAGTATATTTGTTTTGTTCTCTCTCTCTCTGTCATTCTCTTATTCTCACTGCTTGGTTACAAAGTGTAAACACTAAATTATGCCAATGAATTAATGCAATTAAAGAGTTTCTTCAAATGTACAAAAATAGGAAAAATACTAAATTGCATGTATTTCAGTTATGTACTTATGTATGTACGTGTGCATGTACCTTATGAGATGAGCTTAAGTTCTAAAAATGATTTTTGCTGTTTAATATTATTTAGAAAACCTAGTAAAGTGTTAAATTTTCGTAAACATACCTATATACATATTATATGTACTACTTCATTTTACGACACTTTTTTCTGACTTAACTGCTGCACACATACATATTTTCAGTTGGATTATGCATTCATATTTACATGCATATATAATATGTACATATGCATATATATGCATATATATGTATATTTCGCGCTTTGTAACCGCTGAGGCGATTTTCAGCCGAGCTCCTCCTCCAAATTATGGTTTTGTGTTTTGATGTTCTTCCAACAAATGGAGGGACCTCCAAACGGCTGATGAAGTTTTTAGGAGGAGCTTTATTTTATGTCCGAAATACACTCGGAGGGGTGGACATTCCCTGCCGAGGGGCGAGCGCAACTAGAAAATTTAACTTATATTTTTATTTAAATTAATTTTCCATTACTTTTGGGTGGGGACTTGAACCCGAGCCTTCCGAATGGCAGTACGCAATGCTAACCACTCGGCTACCGCGGCCGCCATATGTAGGGTAATTGAGCTATTCAACCGACACCATCAAATAATTGGTCAGTGCTGAGGTTTTTTTTTTTTTTTTTTTTTTTGTAATAACAAAACTTTTTTTGTTCAGAAATTTCATTTTCTTTAATTTGCTCATTACCATTGCCTAAAATGATTTTCTTGATGTCCTGTAAGTTGGAGGAAGATTTTTAAATGAAGAATTATACGTTATTATTAACAGAAATAGGTTTGATAGTGTTTAGATTTATAGATAATTAATTGCTACGGGGAGAGTGTGTCCGGTAACTGAAAATGTGTGGTAAAAATAATTCCTTCTAGTGTCCGGAAAGACCGTTATTTCTCTAATAAAAATTTTAATTCAATTTAATTTAAATGAAAATTTTATTGAAATCAATAATAAATTCAGAATCATATTTAACGGAAAAATCATAGTTATTTGAATGGATGCACTACCTTCAAACATAATCAAAAAAGAAAAATTTTAAGAACATTGGATGCAGGAAATTATTTTTTGTTTTAAAAGTTCTCAACCATTGAGAACTTTATTTATATAATAATAATAGTGCTAATAATTGGCGCTTTGTAACCGAGGTGGCAATTTTTGGCCGAGCTCCTTCTAACCACTCAGCCTTACCACGAGAAAATCTTTGAACCCACACCCCGTCCAGCGCTAATCCAAAGCTCGTCAGAAAATTGATATTTATTTTTTATTGAAAATTATATCAATACAATGAACTATATTAATTTTCAAAGAATATGACTGTATATTGGGTGCCCGCTTACGGAATTTTCATTGTACGTACTAAAGATATACAACTTATTTTAAAAATACTAATCCTCCGGTAACCAGCACATTTACCCTACATAGATTTTTTACAGTATATGAAAATTTATATGAAAAAGAAAGTTCTATTGGAAAATTCAGTTTGGATTTTGTTCTTGAAAACGGCATTATTTTTCAATAGATCTCTTTTCTCATTTGAATAATCCGTAGGTTGGTACTTAAATAAATAAATATGGAAGACATGCCCCATATAAACAAGTTTCACCTATCCGAAAATCATGAAGAGTCACCGGGTAGTTTCCGTATTAAGTCCCTAGTATTACAGATAGGATGCATATAGCTCGTCTTGCTTAGAAGACTAGGCAATGGCTTGATATCGACTAAGCTAATATACATTCATCAAAGCTTCGTTGGAAGCCTTTATTGCCATAGGGATAGATACTATGCGTGTCAGCCATACACATGCAGTTTAATACAAATTTCTCTCCATTTTTTTTATAATTGTCCTCCTTCAGGGAGTGTCAAGCTCTCCTAGTATTTCTGACATGAAAAGCAAAGCTCATCACGATCATTATCCCCATTACTCTGTGCCAGGTTCTTTGGCCAGAGAAGTAGCTCCAGGACTAAACCTACTTGACAGTTGCTGTGCATTACCTCTCTTTATTTAAAAGTTCAAAATCATTTCGGACAGCACTGCTTAACCATTTTAAGTCTCTTCTCCATTATCCTCTTACCCAACTTTTCCTGAGACAAGCTGATAGAGAAATTGTGAAATAATTCTTATCAAAAGAAATTAAATTTTCTGTGGGTATACAAATGTACTTATGCACATATGTATATGTATATAAATGTTTGTGAAATTCGGACATAATGTTTGATAGCTCAGTAGGTGAGAGTAATTTTACGATGTCTTTTACCTGCAATTCCATTTTCCAATTCATCAATTTGATACCAAATCATTAAAGCACTTTATGCAAAACAAATATCCAAAACAAAGTATGTATGTATGTAGTAATTAATAAAAAAAAAAAACCAAAACAAACACCACACACCTCTTCTAACGTGCCAAACAAATCACACGCTACCCATTCCAACGCGATTCGCGAATAACCTATCTCGCCCCACGCGCAACAACACACTAACAACAGAAACAACAACAATGACTCTTCCAAATAGCAACAAAGAAATACACATTGCGCATCAACAACAATGCAAACATGTATAGATATATATATATATGTATATATAGAAGAAGAACAACAACAGTTGTAGTTGCATTCCCTTTTAGTATACAAAAACAAACGGAGCAACATATGAATTGAGTTAAGTTGAAGTATGTAAATGTGGGTGTGTGTGTGTATAATTGTTGGTGTCAATATGAGTATGCGCGGGCGGTGAATCATATGAAATCACACATTTATGCATATACATCCAAACATACATACGTATGTACACGTACGTATGAGAGATTTTGCCGATGTCGACAATGTTTTCGTTTTGCTACGAATCGCGCCATTCGTTGTATAGTCAATATACACACAAATATACATATGTACATATGCTTGTATGCAGAAAAATTTCGCAAAAGCGCATAAACCAAAGAGGAAAACAGCGAACGCGTTAAACGCATTTGCGTCGCCAATGAGCCAAATTGGCAAGCGTTTATGAAATATTAAAATATTCTAATCAAGACAACAAAGCAGTCGAAGCGCTAAGGCGCGGACGGAAATAAATAGCAAAATTAATAAATGCACACATAACTACAACAACAATAAATAAAAATAATAAATATTTATTATAAAGTGTTATGGCATTCAATAGGCTTTAGTTATGAGTTTGTTTGCTTTATTGACTTTCTGTTCAAGTCAAGTGTGAGCAAGTGCGTGTGCGCTTTTTGGAAAGTTATTTGACAAGTCAAATACAACAATAATAGCAATAACAGTGATTAGTAGTGCACAAAAGAAAAAAAAGGAAGTGTAGTGAAGAAAAAGGTAAATGCCAAAAAGTGTGTGGGAGCCAAAGTGTGAATACGCATATAAACCAATATGCGTACATATGTATATTGGTATGTCGTGTTTGCAAAATTTTACGTTGAAGAAAAAAAGTGATCGACGGAACAAATAAATATAAAATAATAAAATAATTAAAAATTATAAAAAAAATGGATGTTACCAGAGTAAAAATAATTTAATACAAAAAAAATATTAAAAATTACAAAAAATTATAATAAATAAAACACAAAATGTAAATAATTATAAAACAAAAAAGTACAAAAAATCTAAAGATAATAAAAAATTAACAGAATAAAAATATATGTATCTTTAAGAACAAACAAAAAATAAAGTTAAGAAGACAAAAAATGCACGAAATCTAATAAAACGGAAAAAAGTAGTAAATAAAAAATAAAAGTAAAAATAAAATAAAATCAATGAAATTAAAATTAATAAAAATAAAGTCATTGAAATGAGTAGAAATAAAATGAAATAGAAAAAATATTAATGTAAATGAATTTATTATTAAAATATAATAATTAAATGAAATGCAATTAATAAAATAAAAGTATTAAAAGCCAATAAATAAAATTTGTAATGAAAAAAAAAAGAAACAAATAAGTACTAATAATGTAGAAAAAATAAAGGAAAAAATTAAAAATAAGTAAAAAAAATTATTATGATATCGAAAAAAATGAAAAATGGAAAAATTATAAAAATAATAATGAAAAAATATGACAATAATAGTGGAAAGTTAAGAATAAAAAAAGAATAAATAAAAAATAAAAAGTTAAAATAAAAAAATTATAATGAAAAAAATAAAATAAAAAAATTATAATGAATGAAAAACAAGAAAATAATAATGATAATAAAAAAAATATAATATTGAAAAAAATAATGAAAAAATAAAATAATAGAAAATGTAAAAAGATAATGATGAAAAATCAAAAATATGAAAAAATTAAAAAGTTATAACGAAAATTATAAAAATTAACAATGCAAAAAATTAAAAAAACAAGCAATAAAAAAATGAAATAAAAAAGAGAAAATAAAAGTAAATAAAAATAGTAATAAAAAATTAAAAACTTTTTATGAGAAAAAGAAAAATAGTAATGAAAAACAAAAATCAAATAATAAAAATATACAAAATATTTATGAAAAAAAATTATGAAAAATAAACGTAATAAAAATTAAATAAAAAAGAACTAATGTAGAAAAAATTATAATGAATAAATGAAATAATGAAAGAAAAACATTATGAAAAATAATAGTGAAAACACAGTAATGAAAAAAGATATTAACGAAAAATAAGGGAAACTATAAAAAATGATGGAAAATATTAAATAGATAATAATGAACAAAAATAAGTAAATTATGAATAAAAATTTAAAAATAATAAGTTAGAATAAAACAAAAATATTAAAAAAAAAAAATAAAAAAGAATAAAAAATGATTATGGAAAAAACTATAAAAGTAAAGAAAGATAATAAAAATATAATATCACAATAATAAAACTAAAAAATAAATATGCATATAATAAGAAAAAAATAATAATAGTGAAAAAATAAAACTAAAAATATTCGAGATGAAACATATTATAAAAAGATAATAACATAAAGAAAGAAAATAAAAGCCCAATAAAAAGAAATAAAAAATTAAAAATAATAAAGACATAAAAAATAACGAAGAAAAATAAAAATGAAGAAAAATAAAAATAAATAATAATAATAATAAATAATAATAATAATAAATAATAATAATAATAAATAATAATAATAATAATAATAATAATAATAATAAAAATAAAAATAAAAATAAAAAAATAAAAACATAATAAAGAAATAATTGAAAAAAATATGAAGAACAAAAAATAAAAAATGATGATGAAAAAAAATAAAGAAAATAAACAAAAAAAAAAAATAAATAAAAAAAGTACGAATGAAAAATTCACAAATAGTAAAATAAAAAAATTCAAAAGAGATAAATAAAATACAACAAATGAAAATAAGTAATAAAGAAAAATTAAAATAAAAAAGTTAAAATAAAACATTCTTATTGAATGTAACAGTAATACTAAAATTAAATAAAAAACAAAAAATTATAAAATTATATGGATTGAAAAGAACACGAGTTCGACGAAAATAATTTAAATTGGTTTAAAAATATTCAGTACCTACACAATTATAATCGTGCATTTCTTGTAGTACCCACCCATCAGCACCGACGTCACTTCATTCTTATTAACTTTAATTTGTTAGCTTGCACATTTTCGATTTCCCTCTTGTTCTACTCTTTGCTCTAAATTCAAACACATTTCTGTTGTTTGGCCACAACAACACTCTTTTATTTTAAGTGCAAACATATTTACTTATATGTACGTTATCTGTAGTGAAAGTACGTTGGCCAAGTTCAAGGACACGCACGTAGCGTGAATGCGAGTGATAGAAAAGAACAGCAGCAGCAGCAGCAGCAAAAGCAGCAGCAGCTGAAAGAATACTAAAATAATTGAAACAAAAAAATAATAATAATAATAACAACAACAACAAATTTGTGAATATTGTGTTTGAAAAGCAGCGACGCAGTAAATACAACCACGCAACATATGGGATGCTCCAGCAACAGCATGCAGCAACAACAACAGCAAGAATAAAAGTGTTAATTGAATTTGCAATTTTCAGCGAACAGTGACCTGTAATAAAGTAAAAAAAAAAATAATAATAAATATCGGAAACTTAAACCCACCTTCCCTCACAGTTTTAAACACCCGCCACCGCCCAATAATTAACCCCAAAAAGAAAATACAAAAATATAAAAAGTGCACAACAAGAAAAATTTTAAACAAACACAAACAAAGAAAATTTACGTTGTTTGCGAATTTACTGTGTGTGAAATAACTGTGCTTTTACACAGCCAGACAACCTTGTCGTTTTACACGCGCGGCTCTGAGTGTGTTTGTACGTGTGTGTGTGTATTTACACGTGGTTACGAGGACAAACCGTGCATTCATTTTTAACACAGGATCATTCAACTTGGGTACCAAACAAAAAAAAAGTTTCAAAATCTTACAGTTGAGCTATTTTTCCTTTGGCAAAACAAATACACAAAAATACCCGCACAGCAGCCGTCTCATCAAGGAGCACAGTTGCAGTTGGCAATCAGCCGTCTTCGCCTTGTGAAGTAAAAAAATACAGCAAAAAAGAACCTGCAACCGCGCTGAGGGTCAGTAAACTGCGTTGGAAAAGTTTTCCTTCCTCCCGCGCGAATAACGTCAGCTCGAAGAAAGTACGAAAAAGGTGAGTGCACGCGGTCTCTTCTTGAAAAATTTTGTTACATCTTACATCTCTGCATTTGTTATGTACTCATACATAATATAATATAAGGTTATCTACGCATCAACCACCCACGTTGTGCTGTTAACATGCCGTTAATATCTTCTTGTACATATGTACATATTCTACATATGTATATGGAGATTATATAAAGGAGCATATGTATATTCTTTGTCATTCATATAAATATACATTTTTATATATGTATGTATTTTCATACAATAAGTTATACAAGTAAACCTCATTTTGCGTACAGTAGATTATAAAAGTATGCTTCCTCCTTTTTATTGATATTTATTCTAGAAAATAAAAAGTTTAATTAAATTAATAAGTTAAAAGTGGAACTGTGCTTGAATAAACCCAACCAAAAATCGCACTAGAACCATCTTTAAATTCTGTTGCGACGAAACTTATTTTTTTTAATTTCTTTAATTTTGAAATATTTGTTTTTTACGATGGATTTTTTTTCTGGTAGAATCCGACTGCGTAGAGAGTATGACAGTACCCTTGAATTATTGTATCATGATCCCACCCTTGTCCACTTTTTGTGGCTAACGCATTTTTCCTACTAAAACGATTTTTCTCTCACTTCCACAAACTCTCTTAGGCTGCTCAATCCGCACTATCTTTAATTTGTCTGGGACAATCTGGGACAATATTTATTACTTTTATGATGATAGGTTATGAATGTCGTAAAAGTGTTCTTCAACAGAGTTCTTAAAATTTTTTCCGGGTCACAAGTTTAACAGATTAGTTGCTGGACGCAGATTGTTCTGTTTTGTCTCTAGGTTACAGTGTTACTAAAGTGAAACCCACAATTCCTTACACAAAGTTTAAGGAGTTAGGCATAGTGACTGAGTTTAATGGGGCTTCACAGGTAAAGAATGGGCTATCACTCTTATGATTTTTGGGGTAGCTGTAGGGACGAAGAAGAGGAGGAGTCTATCGAGAGCCCAGAACTGACATCTACGCGACAGAAATTCCTCGGAAACACTTCTTCGACTGTGTCGTTGAGCTAGCCTCAGCGGAAATTGGAAATCTGGCTGCCTTTATAAAGCACACGAAATGGTGCGATCATTTGAGAAGGTAAACACAAGAGCCTCACAACGGTTGCACAATGGACCTCTGGGAATACTTTTGAAGCGAAAGTGCTCTAATCCATTCGGACTAAATGACCTATACAACGTAGCCCCGTGGCTCTTTATTCAATGTCAAGAGAGGATTTTGCGTTGGATTTCAAAGCTGAAATAGTTTTTGGCGTTGATGCTGCTTCCTAGACATCAATATCAACGGCATACACCAGCAGTTGTACGGTCTTATAGAACATTGTAACATGTTTAGATCTTCAGCGCTTAATTCCTTCTCCAGCATTGTGTTAAAAAGGTCTACGACAAAGATTCACCTTGTCTAAAGCTTAGTTTAGTATCATACGGCTTTTAGAGGAGCTTTCCGATCCCGGCGGAGGTTTTTATGCAGCTCAGCGTCAGTTAAAACAGAAGAATAAGTTCTGCAGGAATACCAAGTTCACACCCAGCGGCGTAGAGTCAGCTCCTTCTCATGCTACCGAAGACAGCTTTCACTTTAACACTGTCGAGGTCCAATCAGTTCGTTGATGGTGGAGTTTAATCTTTCACATAGTAAGCATGCAATCAATGCAATCAGACCTCTTCATAGGCGGTCATGAAACAAACTCGCAATACGTCCGTGGTTATAACCGCTTAAGCGGTGCATAAAACCGGCGTAGCAACCGGACACTGTCTTATGGGGACTGATGGTAGAAGGATGGGCTGCTTCTCATATTACTTCTGTCTCAGCCAAACATAAATGAGGAGGAATCAGTGAAATATTGCCTCCCCCAGAGCCCAGCTCTCTCCTTATCGTATTCTAGGAAATTTCTTCTTCGATTGCCTTGCAGATCTTGCATCTGTAAGCATCACTAATATCCTGAACTTCATAAAATACACCAAGTAGTTTGAGCAACAGGAAAGGTGAGAGGATTCTCTTTTTAACTAACTGACTAACTAATTAATTAAGTATGCTACATTGAGGGGTCAAAACAAGCGAAGGTTCCAATTTGCTTGCTCTGCTAAGACGGGTCACTTCTTCCCCCCTATAAATGTATAACTCGGCCGGCATTCCATCCCCTCCTGCCGCGATACGCCGATGTGGAGGTCGTTGGTATATCTACTAATTTTACGGATGACCCCTTAAGCAAAGGCTAATTGAAGGAGAAATATGAGAAGATCAACAAAAGTTCGGTAAGCTGACCAGAAAAAAAAATCTTTTTGTATTTGTTCATAATCTCTGTCTTCTATCTTCTCCACATAATCGCCATTGATTTCAACGCAATTCTTAAGCCAATAGATCCACTTCTGAAAACAGTCTTCAAAATCTGGCTTTTAAGCTTATCAAGTTCAGCATTAACCTTTTAAATTCTTTTTAATTTATGGAAATAACCAGAAATCACAATATGGTGCTGGGCGTATTTCTTCGATCCCAGAGATCGCAATAAAATTGCTCGTTATTTTAGCAGTGCGGGATGGCGCGTTGTCATGATGTCGTCACTGGAAGATTTTGACCTTCTCGGGGCTCGTCCTCTACGTACGGAAAAGTGTCATGTCTGGAATCTTCGAAACAACTTAGAAATAGTTCTTAAAGATAATGAAATCGTTACATATACAATTTGGAATTCACTGAATATTTGTATTGGCTGTAAATTACGCTAAAACCCGCATCACATGGCGAATTTCTGTTTGCTTTGGTGGTGGAATTTCTTGTGACCTACCCTCATTTACCTTGCGATTTCTCGTCTCTATTTTAGCCAATCCTTCTAAAATTTGAAAAGAAGACTAATAAAGTAATTGCAAAGGATTTGGAACGGAACTTTTGTTAATCCTCGTATGGAACAATTGAATTATATGTATATATATTTTTTTTTTGTAATGGTAACATAGTTATATGACATACTGTACAAAAAAATAAAATTCACCAATAATTCAGTGCATGCAACGTCAATACCAACAACAACCATACAACATCATCACCCACTCGGCCATAACAACAATAATATAACATTCAACTGCCACTGCGTAATTACTTCTTCATCTTCACTCATCCATCGCTTCATCGACTTTAAAAGGATTTTTTTTTTGCTGTTTTATAATATAAAAAATATATGTAATTCATTAATTTAATTCATAGCATTTAAAGAAGACTGAGTGATAGGGGAAATGATAAATAAATATACATATTTATTATCAAGAATTCTTAGTTCTTCATAACTGAATTGCATTTATTATTTAATCAGCTTTGCGAAATTCCATGAAACGGATTGCAAAATGCGCATTAAAAAAAAAGTACAAAATTTTCTAAAAATAATTTCAAAATTCATTTTCACCTGTAAAAAATGTTTAGTTATATACAACATACATATATGCCATATACTTATAAATGCACATACTCCTACTCGTATATGCATGTCTATTGCAGGAGAAATGTATTGTCTTAAAAATGATCTCATGTGAAATGGAAAATAAAGACAATTGCGTTTAACAGAAATTCTTCGAGTGCTGAGACGCAGCGACCTTGACGTTGTTTTTCATGCGCAAGAAAATAAAAAAATTATTTAATGTAAATAAGAAATTATAAGATACATTTTAAATAAATTTGTAGATATGTATTGCGAGCACATTCCATTTTCAAAAAAAAAAAAAAAAAAAAAAAAAATTAACGAAAAATCAACGAATGTTAAAGGCATATCTCTATTTTCCCTACAGGATTAGATTTGGTTATAAGTTTTTGATTCTTTTAATACGGTGTAGGCTGCATTGCTTTGTCTCTCTCTGCCTCTGCCCATGAGTTTCATTCTTTAATCTTCTTTGAGAGTTTTGCGCTCTCACTCTGGAGTATACAGAAATCTACTGTTACTTCTTCCATAAAAAATCAATTAAAATTACATAAAATAATTCGAGTTTTCAGCTAAAGTCGAAACGACGTGGGTTGAAAGGTAGCCCTAACATTACATAGAAATCTTGAGACGTTTTGAGTTTCGTTTCAAAGATGCACAAGTTTTAGCTGCTGTGAAAGTTAAGGAGGTTCCTACACACCCTTCTCGGGAAACACATTCACCCCTATTGAAGAATAGATCTTTCTTTTCCTATTCCATATGGAAAAAAAGCTTGCCTTAACAAAAGAAAAAATAATTTTCAAATGAAAAAAAAAATATTCAAAAACCATAGAATTTGGATCTCAGAAATGCTCAGTCCTGACACTTCGTCCTTATGGTAAAAAATTGGGTTTTATTCATGACACCCCCTTCTAAGCAACAACATCAGTTTCTCAAGTCTTTCTAAATGATAAACCATCACTTCTCATTTGTTCAGAAAGGACTTAAAAACTTTGGGTAGCTGATGTTCCTTGAAGGGTCTCTAAAATTCATAATGAAAACCATGCTTCTTCTTCCTTATTATCATACACACCGCTTACAGGATTGTAGCCGTGTTAAATATAGAGCTCAAATCGTTTCTTCTCTTCGCAGTTTGGCGCCAATTAGAGGCACCAAATGAAACCAGTTCGCTCTTGATCTTTCCAACTCTTTATTTTGATCTCTCCAACAGAGTAGTGAAGATCTTCCTCAGTTTCAAAGCTGGAGTGTTGGCGTGGTGATGGCTATGTATACGGTATTCGCCGTTGACAATTTGTCTGATCTTGTCCTCGTGCTCTCTTCTGCACCATGCAGCAGGACGAGAAGGATGAGTGTCTTACAGAGTTTGCTTTTTGTTTGTCGGAAGAGGACTTACTGAGTCCCAAGCAGCACCTGTTGGCAAGAGTACGTCTGCGCTAAATTTCAAGGCTGGCATTGTTGTTTGTGTTAATACTGGTCCCTAGATATACACGATTTTCTACAGTGTCAAAGTTATGGCGGTCAACAATGACGTGAGCGCTGTTGACTGTTTGTTTGAGATATTTGGAGATATTTCACATTGTCCTCCTTCACTACCGGATCCATTCGCCTTGCTTTAGATTACCTAGAAATGTCAAATTCGTCAGCATACGCCATCAGATATTGCCTTCACTGTTGACGGTCTGCAGTCCGTATTACAGGGTTCTCCAATAAGAAGTGTTATTTTAATATACAAAGAAAAATTCCATTTTTTGAGATAAATGATCGAATGTTTATTTTAATGTAGATTGGAGTATATGCCATTAATAATGAAAACAATATCAGCAAATGGTCGCCACGCCTACGCTTATTGGACCGGATCCTTTTTATGAAATTTTGCATCATCAAATCACAAAGTGGCTGCTGTATGCTCTCAATTGCTTCACATTTCATCTTTGAGGTCTTGAATCAACGTTGGTCCCAAAGGATAAAGGGAGAAGTCGCAAGGTGTTAAATCACTAAATCTCCGTGAACAATTTCGATCACCTCTTCGCGAGATAACACGGTCCGGAAGCATTTCCGCCTAGAAGATCGATGGTTTCGTTGCTTGTGTGGCACTTAGCGACATCTCAATTCATTCACCTTAACTGCTGCTCCAGTCTCATTTTCGAAAAAGTAAGATGTAATGACACTCACCGGATCATAAACCGCATCAAACTGTTAAACTTTTACTGAGGATGTTGAGGCCTTTCAAAAATGAATCTTCAGTTTTCCGAGCCCCAGATGGAGCAGTTTTATTTAATTTGACGTAGCAATCGTGGTGATAATGGACCTCGTCAGTCAACCTGATTTTTCCATGAAATTCCGGATCCTTTTCATGAATTTCAAGGACTCAATCAGCAAAGATACGATGTAGTCGATGATCTTCCGGCTTAGGTTCTTGTGTTAAATGAACTTTATAAGCCTTAAGATCCAAGTCTTCCTGCAAAATACGTTGAAATGATGTCGGTGGCATGCCCAATTCCAAAGAACAACGAGAAATGGAGAAACCTAGGTTTCCATATTGCGGTCCGACAAGGTGCTTCTCGAAAATTGTTTTAGGTTTAGGAACCGTCTCTGCCAGGTTTTCACCATTTTTTAGTGAACTTGATTATTTTCGATGCGTTTTTGAAGCATGTGTAGGTCCATTCGTAGTTTTTAATTGTCAGATGTCCGATAATTACAGAGAATTCAAAGAGGCATCCACCGACAGCAGACTATTCGAAATAACACCTTTTATTAGAAACTCCCTTACTTTTTTCCAGAACTAAGTTAAAGAGCGACACAATAGAGAGTAAGATTGTCTGAAACCTCGATTTCCACTCACGCTTTTTACTTCTTGAAACTTCCTTATTCGTTCATCTCAGTTTAAACTCATTCTATCATATAAGCATTATCCATATGGACGGACACACATACATGCATATATACATACACGTGCAAGTATCTTCATAAATCATAATGTAAATAATTTTTTCGCATTCACAACTCAATTACTAATTCATTTATTTTACATATGTATGTATGTATATGTACATTTAAATTTTCTTGCATTTTACATTAAAAATATATTTTCTCTGATCTTTTTCAGATTTCACTGCGAAAAAATTTAATTAATTGTTGGCGACTTGGATTTATCACAGCGAGGTTGAGAGATCGATTGTGTGGGCCGTTTAAGCATTTATATAAATATAAAAACAAAAACAACAATAATAAAATCCATTAAACAATTAGCCTTAAAGAGAGAGAACAACAAGCGGATAAAGCCAAATATAATTAAATATTTTGCCAGAAAAAAAAAATCAGGAAAGACACACAAAGAGTGTAACGTTAAATACTAGAGACATATTTACAAATTAATAGCAAGTAAAAATATTGCAAAATTAAAAGAGAAAAGCCACAGCGCCGACCAACACCCCACTAGTAGCCTCAAACTCAAGGAAACTGCGTCCACTGCTGCTGCGTTGCGTTGACTACGCTGTCAGCAGTGAATGTCATTTGTCACTGCAGTTAGTCAGTGGCGTCTCTTCACTTAGTCGAGCGGGGGTTGGTGGGTACGGGTTGTAGGCGGGCGCAGCCTACAGTGCCTTAGCTAGCAGACAGCAGACAACAGACAACAAAAGAGAAAAACAATACATTTATTCATCGTTCCAATAAAACTTTCAAAACGGCGCTAAAATGATATCGAATAAGAAATGCTATGCCATGAAAATGCTACAAATAGCATTGGCCTTGAGCCTCTTGCATGTGGATCCGGAACAGCGCTTACGTAATTGGGACTCACAGCTGGAATTGCGCGATGGCGATGGCTGGGAATTGGAAATGTTGCGCGCCGTACCGATGGTGGAGTATCCGTATGCGAATCGTAAGACCATGATGCCGCTCATAGAGGATCTCATACGTTACGATCGCCAACATGATCCGACACCGCCACAGTACAATGTCACCGCCTATATGTTAAATGTGCAAAATGATGGTGGCACAAATCAGACAGCCACACTACCAGAGATACAGGCAACATCGAGCGGTACGACTAATCCTGCTAGTAATGTGGCGGTGGCTGGCGCTACTGCGTTGGAGCAGGCAGCTAATGCAGCCGCCGCAGCTGCTGCGGCCAGTACGAATGCCAGTAATATGGGATTGCCAGCATCGGAGTTGGATGTTTTTCTCAATTCGGAAAACTTTCAAGATCAACGTTCGGTGTGGGAGCAAAATTTGGCTGATTTGCGCGATTTTGGCGATCTTGCCATCAACAATCCATACGCAGGTCTACCACTCAAGGATGAACCGTACAATAACACTTATATTGATGTGAATTTGGATATGTTTTTGCCGAGTTTCGCTAGTGCTGCCGCTGCCGCTGCCGCTGCGGCTAATGATGTTAAGCAGGAAAATGTGGCTGCTGGTGCATTGAATGATACATTCCCCGAACCGGCAGATGTCGCTAGTATTAAAACAGAGCAAATCGATAAGGAAGAGGCGGAGGAGCAGGAATTCGTGCTTAATAATGAAGCATCTTCATCGGGAGTGAGTTCAGCGGAGACAGTATTCACAACCACACCCACATCACAGGCGGCGATTATTAAAAAGGAACCCATTGAGAGTAGTGGCGATGATGAGGCGCAAACAGAAATGGAAGAGGTCGATTTAAGCCCATTCTTCAGTCAGTTGGATATTATGAAAGAGGTAAAAAAGTAGTTTTAAGACATTCTTTGAAATGATTATCCTACAACATAAGTTGCGAGTTTGATATTGGTCCGACAATTTTCACTGCTTGATTGAGGTTCTAGGATATTCCGATCGGAATATTTTTTCAAAGTAGTAAATTTTTGAAATTCCTAGTCATTTCTTATAATAAAAATTCTGCAACAATTAATAAACTTTTTTTTTTGTTTATATTTAATTTTTTTTTTGCAGCGGAAATGCGCTGTTTCTTTCATGCATATTTTTGAATTATAAAAATATCTACATATATTTAACAAATATTTCTTTAACACATTGATAAATATTATACAATTCTGCAATTCCGCTATTTTTCCGAGGTCACTTTTGCTATAAACAAAACAAAGAAGACAAAACGTTATATACAGCAGCAGAGCAGGAAACAACTAATAGCAGTTGCATTTATGACTAATATTTTTTTCCAATATTCTTGCTCAATGCACATACTATCATATATAGATGTGTACGAGGGGCGGCTGATAAGCTCGTGGCCTAAAGTACTTAATGCAACACGCCCCTGACTCAACAAATAAGCGTAATTCTGGTCGTTCATTGGAGTTCCCTTAGACAAGTAATCAAATAACAATATTCCCTCGCTATCCCAAAAAATGGTAGCCATAATCTTCGACGCCGTCTTTTCCCTTTGAATTTCTTTGGTAGCCGTTCCCATTTTTTTATCCACTGTATCGATTCCTGCTTGGACTCTGGATCATACTGAAGACTCCTAGTTTCATAAACTCTTACAATGCGATCGCAAATTTCATCCAAACCATTGCTCGCGCAAAAACTCTCCAGCTCGTTTGTAATCCTTCTGCTATCTGCCACAATTTCATTTTTCGATCAGTCAGTATTAATTTTTCGACTTTCCGAATGTTTTCTTCCATCACGGCGCCCATATTTAAAGGCGTATATGAAAAGGCAGCGTCCTGAAGAACCGATGATAAGTCATTAAAACTTCTATCTTTTTGACAAGGGATTTATTTACAACGCGGTGCTCAAAATTGCGAGAATTTTCAGTTTCCCGTTGGCATAGTGTTGTTGCTCGTTCCAGGCATGAAATGTTAATGAACCTCATAAAAAAGTTTTGTTATTTATACTAGGCTCTTCGTACGGTCAGTCGGTCAGTTTTTCAGCATTGAAAATATTTTGCTGAAATCGAAACAAATGCCTATCTCATAGAAAATCTTGTTCCTATTGGCAAAAACTTGGGATAATCGATTTTCATTCTCTTGAAACTAATTCTTCACCAGCCAAATCAATCGCCGCTGAAAGGAATAGACAGGAACAGATAAGTTGGATGCATATGAATTTTCCTTCTAAGCTCTCGGATCTTCCAGCGAGTCACTATCTGTATGTGTCTTCGACCACGACCGTTTTCATTTCTTGTTGCTTTTCATAACCAGTCACCGTGCGCTTCAGAAATGAGTCGTTCTGCGATTTGCAAAGAAAACTTCGGTCCATAAGGTTCTTTTCTCGTGATACCAATAAATGAAGCTTCTTTGTGCATTCAACCTTTCAGGTGGTTCAAAACTCTTTTTTGTACAATATTTAGCTCCTGAGGAATTAAAACAGTGCTCGCATGATGGTCAAACTCGACGGTTACCATTATTTTTATCGACATTTTCGATATTTGGCCTTCCGCGCGGTGGAGCATCATTTACATCAGAACTGCAGGAACGAATTCGATGAAACCCAAATGTGGATGATTGACTGTTACAGCATTAGGATCTGCCTGACTTGTGTTACCGCCTTTATCGAAGCGGTTGTAGATTATAGCGTATATTCTCTTTACCGGCGTCCATCTTTGACTTTGGCTCAAACACTACTAAGTTTAGTTATCATTTTTAGTATAAAATATCAGCATTCTAACGCCATCTAGCGTAGTCCAATCGCATTTATAGAACGCGAAATTCAGATCACTAAAGCCGTATATTGCGAAAATAATGGATTACTTCTAACTAGACCTCATATTCTATATGAAGATTTTGCGTTCAAATTAATTTTAAATCATTAAAAGAAACTCAAATATCAGAAGTATAGCAAATCAATAGCTATTTTGAATGGAAAATTTATTTTTCTTTACCTTAGATTATATTTAAAGCCAGCGAACATAAATAAAACTAAAAACACCCATATAGTCTATGCAGATATTTTGAAAATTAATTGTCCAAGACTTTTATATAAAACGCGAAAAAAGTCGACAACTTTCTAAAATAAAATGCATAACAAAAAAATTGCATTTGGGTCAACGTTAATAATTACTGACTAAACTAAAACTAAAACTAAAACAAAAACAAAATTGACTTTGCCATTTGCATTTTGCCTCGCGATCTAACAGAATTAACGAATTTCTATTATAAAATGAATTTTATTAAAAACGTTGCGACTATTTATTTGCATATATTTGCATTGAACTCAAAAGAAATGAAAAATTGACACAAGCACACACACACACACAGACGCGCACGAAAAAAAATGAAAAACAAAAAACAAACTGTGACATATTCACTTAAAAGACGGCGAAATGAAAACAAATTGCCTAGAAATCCAAAAAAAGTAATAACAAAAACACAAAAAAAAATATATGAAACAAAAACAAAAACACATCTCAAACAAAAAAAATCTTTCGCCTTAACGCCAACGAACCAAGAACATCCAGTCGTTTAGTCAGAGAAAATCAGTCAGTGAGCATTGCTGTTTTAATATTACTGCTGCTGATGCTGCCGACGACAGACCCGTTAGCAATGTTTTTTCTTTTTTAAATTTTATTTATATGTATGTAAAGATGTATGTAACTGCGCGCAAAAAGTTATTTTTTTTTTTACTTTTTTTGAAAATGATGAATTTAAAATTCTTTTTAGAACCACAAAATGTTTTAGTTTTCTGTATTTTGTGTAATTTTTATTCCAAATGGTCTTGAGGCAGGTCCACTCCCGATATGGACATGAAATAAAGGCTCCTTGTAAAAAACCATCAGTCGTTCGGAGGCGACTTAGTATATAAACTGTAGGTCCTTCCATTTTTTTTGGAAAAACATCAGGACGCAAAACCACAAAAGCGCCAATTATATACGAGTATATATGTATATATTGAACGATAAAAAAATCTCTAATTTTATCATATTATATGTAGAGGGTTGCGAAAGGGTTTTTAGACATGTCGTTTTCAATAAAATACTTATAATTTAATGTTTCGGTAAAAAGTTTAGCTTTCTTATAAAGATAAAGGCTTGACACTAAATTCTTAAAATGAATCCCCGAAGACCATCGCGGCTGCCTCGATAAAATCCAACCGAGAGTACCGATTTGCGACCTCTTTTTGCAGCAATTCAGGCCGTATGTCGGCAATAACGCGCAGGTTATTCTCTTCCAAGGCGTGAATTGTTTCGGGCTCACCTGCCTCACCTGCCTCACCTCACCTCACCTCACACGATCTTGGTGCACCATGATGCTAGTTAATGAGCTCAACAAAAGTTTCTTTCAAGAATTTGATTGCTTCGTCGGTTGTATGGCATGTAGCGTCATTGTTGTTGTAACGGCGTGGCAAAAATGGGTTGTAGATTATCATCACTCCAAATGGGACGATTTGCATTCAACCAAAAGTGAGCCTCATCGCTGTACAAAATTTTCTTGTGTAAATCGGTAGCGGTGGCCATCTCGTTTTGGTCCCATTAACCGAACGTGCGACGCGCTTGATATTCGTTCGGCTTCAATTCTTGCGAGAGGTGGTTTTTGTAAGTCCGCAAACCAATTTCATTTCGCAAAATCTTCCGTAAAGTAGATTGGTCTTTGAGAAGTGGTCTAGTGGTCCTCTTGCTAATCTAAGCGAAAATCCAGGAAAAGTAGCGAATTTCAAGTAAATCGAATAATAAACAAAATTTTCGCACAGGTAGGTCACTGGTCCACTTCTCGAAATTTTTTCTTTTTCGTACAAATCCTTGCAGGAACCATGGAAACAAGAACAAATAGAGAAAAATGCAGTTTAATCTGTTGCGTACTTTTTTTTCTTTTTTTTTATTAATAATTAAAAAATTTTATTAATCACATATTATTTACGTTAATTCTTTCACTGCATTTTTTTTATTCTCAGTAGTTTTTATTTGCTTTCTTCATGAAATTAATCCACAGAGAATGCTATTCTGAACTAGTCTTTTTACAAATGTCACACTTTCGTTCGCTACACAAATGTTGATGAAATGAACATATTGCTGGTGAAATGTACGTTTGTCGACACTAGGTTATGCTTAGCTATGTACTTACGTGTATGTATATGATTGCCATGAGTCTCCATCACATCGCTGCGCTGCGCTGCTGCATACGCATTTGCATTGTAAATATTTTATTTGCAAATTTTGGGTAATATTTATTTTTAACTCATTCGAACCAGCCAACTGTGCGCCAAAAGGACATAATAAAATGATTGCTTTATATATCTGATGTTGTTGTTTTGTTTTTCGCTAAAATAAATAAAAGAAATACAAAGAACGCTCAGATAGAGGCCGAATCGAACGTCAAAAACTTCATTTATTATATAACGGTTGGCTTACAGAAGACGCATTTATCTTCTGTGAAGCGATCTTTAGCCCATTGAGCGAAGAGTAATCACATCGGCTGATCCGCAGATTCTTCAGTTCGTGTACCAACTGAAGTTTACTCGTATAAGCCTTCTTACCGAAGTCTTTATGCCACATACAACTGATTGAATGGAGTGACAAGTAAACTCTGATAAATCTGAGATTAACCTTTTGTAAGGTTAAAAAAAGCTCACTTAATCACACAATCCTTACGAGGAAACATTATAATAATTGTATTACCCTCCAAATCGGCCAAGTATCTCGGTGATATCTTCGATAAAAAAAATTTGTTGGAAGGAATATTTTGAAAGCAGTTCCTGTAGATCGCTGCGAATTTCCAATACGTAAAGACGTGCTATTGCGCCACAACTAAAGACCGCAACCCTGCCTT